GGGGGGGGGGGCTGGGCATGACAGGGAGGCAGCAGCTGCGATGCCCAGTGCCTGATGGCCCAGAGGGTGGCAACGGTGGCAGCTGTTCCTCCTCCAGCCCTTCCCAACAACTGAAATCTTTCTGCTTAACACAGTGAGGATCTTCTGTATCCAAGTCCTGAACAGAATAAAGCCACAAATTAGCAGTGGCAGTGAAAGACAGAAAATATTTCGGTGCCTTACTGAGAATGGGGGGTCAGTGGTTGGATGGTTGCTGGAAAGGAGATAAATACAGTTCTTGAAAATAATGGGTTTAAGATGCCAATGACTCATCCAAATATATAAACTGTGAAACTTAAGAGAGGTCAGAGCTAGAAGCACACATTTTGGAGTCATAAAAAGATGGAGGATGAGAGTGCCCCAAAAGAACATACAGAAAATCTCCAAGATCAAGTTCAAGGTCAGAAAACTTTAAAGGAAAACCACTGCTGAGACAGAGAGGAGGCAAAACCCACTGAAAAGTCAATAAAGTGAGAACTTGGAGAAGGCAGTGCCACAAAAGCCGAGGGGAAGGAGAGCCAAGGAGTAAGTGTTCAGTAGTGTCAAGTGCAACCTAGACGTACCAGCCACATGTAAATATGACATTTCCTTTTCCTAAAATGTCTTACATAAACTAAGTAAAATAAACCTTTGGCCAACTGCGTCCTACTTACTGAAGTGGGTGTGGAAAATCTAGAATATGAGAAAACCAGTCACAGGTACTTTATCACGTTGCCCCACTTGAGAATGAGCATCACCTTTCAGAAAGTAAACTTGGACCATTAAACCTGTTTATCTTTTCCTTCAAAGTTTCTAGGTTCCCAGTCTAGTTTGAGAGGGGCTCCTCCATCCCAGGGTAATGGTCACCTATATTTCTCATAGTATTTGCATAATTTTTACATTTAGATCTTTAATCAATATGGAGTTTATTTATATACCTTGTGTAAGGGAGAAAACTTTCTTTCAGATGAACTGCCTGAAACCATCTATTAAATAAGCCACCCTTTTCTCAGTTAATCAAAATGTCGCCTTCAGTACGTTCTCCCTCACACTTGGATCTGTTTCCGGACGCTATTCCGTTTCTTGGATCTATTTGTTGACTGCCTTGCTAACACCATATCATTCCAGATGTAGTAGATCTGGACCCATGAACCAATCTTATCACAGCATTAGAGAACCTTTCAAATGATGATTCCTCAGACATGTCTCTCTCCTTCCTCACCTCCCAAATACCTTTACATCAAAACCTCTAGTGGCAGTTCATTTTTAAATGGCATTATATCAGGATATTGTATGTGATTTTTGCATACACTATTGCTTGAGAACTTACTGCTTGAGAACTTACTGCTCGAAATATCTGGTAAGACCCTCACTATCTTTATTCTTCAAAATTTTCCTATTAATTCTTACAGATTTATTCTTCCACATAAGTTTTAAAGACTTAACATTTCCATGATGAATAATTTTAAAAATCAACAGGAAAACAAGACTCAGAAAAAATAACACATGATGAAACATACAAAGAGCTCCTAAAAATTTAAAT